TTTTATTTGCTAATTTTGTGTAGCCCTACATGGATTTTGCAGGCATTTAACTTTTTATACCTTAAGCGGGAGTTTAGGTCTCCAACTTCGTTTTTCTTCACCATTGCACCTGAGGTACGAAAAAACTAAAAGTTTCTCAAGGTTGTGCGTATATTTAATTTTTAGAATTTACCTTCAAGTGCGGAAATGCCATCGTTAAAACTATTCAGACGCACATGGAAATATGCCGAGGATGACTTTGTTACGTCCAGTGCTATAAATGCCATTTTGCGACTTACTCTGTAATTTAAAAAAAATTAAACTACGTCTTATAGGATACTGACGTCGGGCATTATTGTACTGGTTAACTATGAATGGATCAGACGTGCTGATATAACCGGAAAAGTATCCAATTTTTTTTCTAAACTCAGTTAAGGCTATTCTTTTGACAGCATATATTATTGGTCTTGTGCAGATTTTGATATATATCGTGATGTTATCGATAAGCGCTACTGGATCCGTGATGCAAACGACCAAACGAAAGGCCCTGCCATATATCATTGGCCTCCACCTTGCCTTTCTTCTGTTTGAAGCAGACTTTTACTGTCTTGCCATATGGCAGAGCCACGAGCTACATAATCAACCGGTATATGTAAGTCATTTTTCTGTCATTAAATATATATTATATCTATATCTATATATTAAAATTTATAAACTTCCCACACGAAATCTTTATTTACTTTAGTCCTTTGGACAAGCCGAGTATTTGTCTGTCATGTGCTGGAGTGGAATATGCTTAGTGTTTGTTTGTTTGGAAGCGATCGATTGGGTGATGCACTTCGATCGAAATGGTTCTGTGAAATACAAATTCTACAAAGCGTTTTATTATGAAGACCAATCTTACTTGAAAGAGACAGAAAAACGGAAGCTTGTTCAGAAGATGCGATGCTTGTCAACGAAAAAATGGACAAAGGTCCTCGAAGCTTTCGTTAAAACATACAAGCCCCCAAGCCGGGACGACAAGAAAATGGCTGTTGGCGAAATAGCAGCATCCCTTGCAGATTATCTTTCGGTAAGTGTATGATAATGGTGCCATGCTGCAAAGTATCAAAGGCCAGAGATTGAAGCGCCTCGTTTTTTCAGGACCTGGATATTACGAAATCGGATACAATAATGGGTCTCTTCATCCTACACTGGCAGACAATGCAATGGATTGGAGGGAACTCGGTTGTTAACGCAAATTATGTCCTTCAGCAGACTGATCCGGTCAGTACGGATATTGCAGATAAGGTAAATTCAGGACAGTTTAGGTTATTTTTCTGTTGTGAGATGCCTAACTACGAAACCTACGCTCCCAAGGACATTCTCGATAAACAATGGCTGCATATTTCCCGTCTTCGTCAATATGCTCATTTCATCAATGCGTCCTACGGGTGGATTTACTATTCTGCTGTAAACATGTGCAACTGTACCGCAGCCAGTCGCCTGTATGAAAAACTCTCGTGCCGGTAATACAAAATCTACACTTTTATTAAGTTCCGAACGTATTTCCCTTTTGGTTACCTCCGAACTAAGCCGTTTATCTGGATTCTGAAGGACGTTTGGGATTTGCTTGAACATCGTTTTGCTAAAAGCAGAAATATCTAAGTATAAGCTGTTCGGTTTTATTTAGAAAGCCTTGGTTTAGGTACCCACAAGAAAACCGACGGAAGAGTAATTATCAATTTAATTTTTGGGAAATTCAACTAGAAAGCGACAGAAAATAATATTCTAACTAATGAGAGCACTTGATTTATTTATTTTCCATCAATTTGGAAGTCGACAGCTACCAGTACAAGCCGAAGGTTATCAATATATATATATATATATATGTCTGAGAGATTTTCCGTGTATTCTTTCTGAAAAACTACATTTCTGTAGGCCATTTGGGGGTTAGTACAAAAACTAATACACGTTTGTCACAAAGTCATCATAAAACAGTTATTTGTGACTAGGTACAGCTTAAAAATTGGGATAAGCACGCAAA